TTGTAATTGCACTACAGGCAATCCCGCGAATACAACACACCCCCACGAGACCCCACCGGACCCAACTACGGGAGACTCAAGGTTTGAGTTGGTGACAGGGCTTGGGGAAAAAGGGCCGGTAAAGGTAAATTACCGTCAGACCCACGTCTCGGGTCCGGCGTGGTCCTGGGGCGGGGGTGTTGTTTGGGGGTGGAGGGGGGCCGCCTCTTGTAAAGACAGGATTGCCCGAAGTGCAATTACAAAATGTTTTCCTGATTGSGCCGAACTGATCCAACTAAAAAAACAGTGCCGGGTCTTTTTTTCCGCTGCCGTTTCTCGCCGCGCCACCCCAGCGGTTGTTGTTTGGCCCTTGCTCCTGCGGCGTAGCGCAGCTGGTAAGGTTGGCAGGTGGCTTTCAGGACGTCTCAGGTTCAATCTCCGTTGGGCCCAGTCTGCTCAAGTTCACCGTGTTCTGCCCCACTTCCCACTACTCGACGACCACATTTGAACGTCCATGTACATCCAAGGTAGTCAAAATTGGGACGCCAACACAAGAACTGGGAGGAAAAAAAAATCCCTTTAGTAGGGGCCAAATAACACCACAAAAAACACACATTGTTGCAGCACTGGCCCGCACTACGAAACCATGTTGGATACGTCTTGGTTCATGTTGGAGGCCTGTGTGAAACAATGTTGGAACGCATGTTCGACGTGTTGAAAACAAGTTGGTCATGTTGATAACTGCTTGAACACAGTAGAAGACCCGCGTTCAACAGTTGGTCACAGCCCTTGCGGCGTGCAAAAGTTGGACAGCGGTACGAAAACGAGTTGGAACTCGGCAACAATTTTTCTGTTGGGGCCCCACTAGGAGCAGTAGCAGGTGCTGCAACCACACTCGCTACAAGCATCAGCAGCTGCAACGACAGCAACAATAGCTGTTTTGAAGGACGCCTCGATGGTCCGGCGCCTCGACGACGCCGGACCCTCCGATGATCTGACGCCTCGACGACACTGGACCATCAGAGGGCCCGGAGCCTCGACACAACAGCAGCAGTTGCACCACCAGCGACCGCAACAACAACATCTGCACCTCAGTAGGAGCAGCAACAGCAGCAGCCGCATCCGGGGCCTCCACGACGCCGGGCACTTGGATGGTCTGGCGCCTTGACGATGCCAGGCACTCTGATGGTCTGGCGCCTCGACGACGCCGGACCCTCCGATGGTCTGGTGCCTTGACAATGCCGGACCATTGGATGGTTCGGTGCCTGGACGACGCCGGACCATTAGAGGGTCCGACGCCGAACCCTCCGATGGTCTGGCGTCGTCGAGGCGCCAGACCCTCTGATGGTCTAGCTTCGTCGAGGCGCCTGACCGTCGGAGTGCTCGACGTCTTCGACGACACCAGACCATAGGAGGGTCGCGCATCGTCGAGGCACCAGACCATCAAATAGTTCGGCGTCGGACCCTCCGATGGTCTGGCGTCGTCGAGGCGTCGGACCCTGCGATGGTCCGGCGTCATCGAGGCGCCAGACCATCGGAGGGTCCGGCGCCTCGACGACGCCGGACCATCGCAGGGCCCGGCGCCTCGACGACGCCAGACCATCGGAGGGTCTGGCGCGTCGACAATGCCAAACCATTGCAGGGTCCGATGCCGGACCATCGGAAGGGTCTGGCGTCATCGAGGCGCCGGATCATTGGAGGGTGTGCCATCTTCGAGGTGCCGGACCATCCAATGGTCTGGCGCCGGACCTTTGGAGTAAAAGACAAACAAATGAAAAACACAACACAGAGACAAAAAAAAGGGACTGCATACCAAACCTTTGGATGCCATCTCCACGTGCAGGACGCCGACCTCAGTCCCGATGTGGTGCTGGCTGGTTGCGCTGAACTGTCGTGGTGGTGCCCTAAAACGGATATGTCACAACGCCGGCTGCTGGGCAATGCAGCTACACAACTGGGGTGGGGTTATACAACAGCCTTCGTCGACGCTTCACCTTCGTCAAAGCTCCGCCTTTCACACCGGTAAACAAAGGACAATGAAACATGTCACTGAGCGAAGTGTCAATGAACGTGTTATATGGTTCTCTCTCGACAAAAAGGCGATTCTCCCCCTGGCTTCCACAATGCCAAACACACCAAATAAGAGTATCATTGGAGCTCACAAATGACACCGTAAAATAGTGGATGCATCATCACCGATGAACCAAGTCTTGATCCCACACCTGGCACTCACCGCCCAGACTACAAATGGCATATCCTATCTACACTACGTACGAGCACCCCGGTGACGTCAGCAGCTTCCCCAAGTACGAGCGGATCTCTGCTAGATGGCGGACCCACTTTTTTTTCTTTTTTTTTTATCAACGAGCCAATCAATCAATCAAAAAAAAAAAAGGCCAAAACAAAAGTTCATGATCGAATCTATTGATTCAATTGGATAGTCCAAGACAATCAATCAATCAATCAATCAATCAATCAATCAATCAATCAATTAATCAATCAATCAATCAATCAATCAGTCTATCAATCAATAAAAAAAAACGAAAAAAAAGTAACAAATCGATTTCGATTGGATACTTTTTTTTTCGTTTTTTTCTTTTGTGGATTGATTGATTGATTGATTAATAAAAAACAAAACAAAAAAAAAAGCCCGACCGCCTACCTCTTATCCCTATCACTCGGCGGCCTCCTCATCTGGTCTTCCTCCTCCTCCTACTCCTCATCTCTCCTCCTCCCCTTCTCCTCCTAATCCTCCTACTCCTCCTCCTCCTCCTCCTTTTTCTCCTCCCCCTTTTCCTCCTAGTCTTCCTCGTCCTCCTCCTAGCCGGCGCCGACGTCGTCCCCAAACACACCAAATAAGAGCAGATCTCGGCGAGATGGCGGAGGCATCTTTTTTTTTTTTTTTTTCGACCGACCGATCAATCAATCAATTTAAAAAATAAAACAAAACAGAAGTTCACGTTCGAATCAATTGATTCGATTGGATTGTCCGAGCCAATCAATCAATCAATCAATCAATCAATCAATCAGTCTATCAATTTAAAAAAAAAAAAACGAAAAAAAAAGTAACTAATCGATTTTGATATTGGCCATCAATCGATTCGATCGATTCGATCCGATCTTGATTTAAAAATCGAGATGCAATCGAATCAATTGGATGCTTTTTTTTTCGTTTCGTTTTTTCTGATTGATTGATTGATTGATTGATTGGAAAAAAAAGAAAAGCCAGACTGCCTGCCTCCCCGCTCCTATCACTCAGCGCCCTCCTCGTCTGACCGCCCTTTTGCCGCCACCTCATCTATGTCCACCTCATCCCTCCTCCTCCCCTGCTCCTCCTCCTCCCTCTCCTCCTGGTCCTCCTCCGCCTCTTCTTCGCCCTCCTCCCCCTCGTCATCCTTGTTTTCTTCCTCCTCCTACTCTTCACACCACTCCTCCTCCTTTTCCTCGCCGGCCTCGGTGTTTCCTCCTATTCTCCCTCCTCCTCCTCCTCCTTTTCCTCCTACTCTTCCTCCTCCTCCTTCTCTCCGGTGTCGGCCCTTTCTTCCTAGTTGTCCTCCCCTTCCTCCTCCTACTACTCCTTCTCCTCCTCCTCCTCCTTCTCTTCCTCCTCCTCCTTCTCGGCCCTTTCCTTCTCCCAGTCGGCGTCCTCCTCCCCTGACCCCCCTTTCGCTTCATCCTGCTCCCTGTCGACCTCCTCCCTCCTCCTCCCCTGCTCCTCCTCCTCGCCTGCTCCTCTTCCTCGCCTGCGCCTCCTCCTCTCCTACTCCTCTTCTTCTCCTCCCCCCTCTCCTCCTCTGAGGTGTTGACATGTTCATTGACAGAGACGATCGCGCCTCTCCCGCCAATCTTCTGGCCAAGCAGATTGAATTAGCAGCAACTACGGAGCAACTCCAACCACACCAAATAAGAGTAACATCGGAGCTCACAAATGACATTGTTCACATGGCGTCTCCAAACACACCAAATAAGAGCAAATCTCAGTGAGATGGCGGACGCATTTTTTTTTTTTTTTTTCAACCGACCAATCGATCAATAAAAAAAAAAACAAAAAAAAATTGAATTTCCCGATGGAATCGATTGCTTCGATTGATTCGATTGGATAGTCCGAGCCAATCAATCAATCAATCAATCAATCAATCAATCAATCAATCAATTAATCAATCAATCAATCAATCAATCAATCAATCAATCGGTCTATCAATCAATCAAAAAAAAAAACGAAAAAAAAGTAACAAATCGATTTGGATATTGATCATCAATCGATTCGATCGATTTGCTTGGATCTTGATTTCAAAATCAAGATTCAATAATCGATTGGATACTTTTTTTTCTGTTTTTKATTGATTKATTAAAAAAAAAAAAAAAAAAAAAAAGATTGCCKSCCCCCCMMCYCCYMYCMCYCSSCSCCCYCCYCMYCYSMYCSCCCTTTTGCCSCCYCCYCCTCTATGCCCACCTCATCCCTCCTCCTCCCCTGCTCCTCCCCTTCTTCCCTTAAGGCCCTCCATCCCTCCTGCACTTTTACGCAAGACTACTCACTTTTACGTCGCTCAGGGCCCTCCCTCCTTTCCTCTGGGCGTCGGTCCTGCAGCACGCATTCAGTGCAAGGCCCTCCCTCCATCCTTAAAGGTCTTTTTCAGTTTTATAGTTCTTTTTTCTTTTTTAAAGGTTTTTTGTTTTAAAAAAAGGTCATTGTTTTTTAATGTTCTAGTTTTACACAACCTGGCAAGTCGTTTTTTTTTTTAAAAGGCGGGGCGACCATTTGTTTCCATAGCGTTACGTGTCTTTCGCCGTTCCACATCCGTGTTTGTTTTCCATTCGTACGAAAGAAGCGTGTTTTTTTTAAAGGTCTTTTGTTTTGAAAAAGGTCATTGTTTTTTAATGTTCTGGTTTTCAGAAACCTGGCAGGTCGTTTTTTTTTAAAACAGGTGGGGTGACCGTTTGTTTCCATGGCATTACGTATCTTTCGCCGTTCCACATCCGCGTTTGCTTTCCATTCGTCTAAAAGAAGCGTGTCGTTTTCGGAGGGGTGTTGTGCATCTATCTTTCGTCGTTCCACGTCCACGTTTGCTTTCCCTTCGTTCCAAGAAATGTGTCAGGTCTGGTAAGAGATTACATGGCATGCACGAGTCTGTGTTGTTCGGGAAGGACGCTCCTTGAAAGAGCTTACGTTACGGAACACACATTTCCAGGCCTTTGTTTATGTTCCTCTCACTTTGCACCCATGTTTCTTAAACGACCTTCTGTTATGGAACAATCAGGCTCGCACCTTTGTATCTTAAAAGAGCGGACCACGCCCCACGCAGTGGCCAGCGGCTGCCAAGGATAAGGTTCATGGCCACCGAGAATGGAACAATGCAATGGTGTGACCCGGCGTCCCAAAGAAGCCAGTAAGGACCATGGCATGTGCACGGTGTTTCGGGACGACGGACCATACCATGTCTTCATCGGCACCTTCTGGACACAGACCATGCACGGTATGGTCCGACGCCCGCCTCTGGGACGTCGGACCATGCCACGGTGTGGTCCTGCGACTCCGCGACCCCGGAACATGCCATGGTATGGTCCGGTGGCTCCGGGACTTCGGACCATGCCATGGTATGGTTCGGCGCCTCCACGACGCCAGACCATGCCATGGTATGGTCTGGAGTCCCGGAGGCACCGGACCATACCAGGGCATGGTTCGGCGTCTACGAATCCCCCTCGACGGCGGCCATCCGCAGACAAGTCCGAGGTCGCGGCCTAGACCGCGCCCCCCCGGACGTGTCCGCGCGGCCGCGCAACTTTGCGGCCGCATGACGCCCATTGGGGAAGGGGGTTTGAGATTTGGGAAGCGCCATGGGGCGGCACAATCCCAGCCCCAACCCCTCAAACAAAAACAAAAAAAAAGAAACTAATTTTTTTTTGGGGGGAGGGGGTTGGGTGAGTGAAGGTATTTCAAAAAAAAAAACAAAAAAAAACAGCACTTTTTTTTCTTTTTTTTTTCGTTGATTGATTGATTGATTGATTGATTGACCCCACAGGCGCACACTCACACACACATAGGTAGGATTGTATATTTCCATGGTCTAGCGGAAGATTCATTCGATTTTGCTTCTTTTTTTTTTCGTTGATTGAATGATTGATTGATTGGTGGGGGTGGGGTCGGCCCTCCATCCCCAACAGGCCCACACACAAATACACACGCAATATTGTATATTTCCATGTTCTAGCGGAAGATTCATTCGATTTTGCTTTTTTTTTTTGTTGTTGATTGATTGATTGATTGATTTTTTTATTTATTTATTTATTGATTGATTGATTGATTGATTGATTGATTGATTGATTGATTGAGCGGTGGGGGAGGGGTCGCCCCACCCCCCC